GAGGTGTGTGGGTTAGGTTAGGTTAGGTTAGGATAAGATTAACACTGGATTAGGTAAAGATTTTTGGGTCGGTTACAATGCTATTAACTAAAAACCAGTGAACGTAATGATTCCCGTTTGGCGGCGTTGGCGAGACTGTGACGTAATGCTGTGAGAACCAATCAGGTGCTCTGGAATTCGTCTCCATTAATGTCATGTTTGGGTTGAGATAAGACACATTCTCCTCCTGTCTGGCTACGTGTTGCTTAGTGTTCCGTGATGACGTGGACGTGTTGCTTAGTGTTCCGTGATGACGTGGACGTGTTGCTTAGTGTTCCGTGATGACGTGGACCGTGTTGCTTAGTGTTCCGTGAACGTGACGTGTTGCTTAGTGTTCCGTGATGACGTGGAGTGTTCCGTGATGACGTGTTGGTGTTCCGTGATGACGTGGACGTGTTGCTTAGTGTTCCGTGATGACGTGGACGTGTTTTTGTGTTCCGTGATGACGTGGACGTGTTGCTTAGTGTTCCGTGATGACGTGGACGTGTTGCTTGGTGTTCCGTGATGACGTTGACGTGTTGCTTAGTGTTCCGTGATGACGTGGACGTGTTGCTTAGTGTTCCGTGATGACGTGGACTAAATAACAGAAAACAACATCACTTAAAGTGTGATAAAGAAAGTGGCGAGAATAATATAAATAACACCAGTAATGTTAAATCAATAAAGGGAGATGATAAATGCTTAAAATGGTCTTGGGGTGAAACTTTGAGGTCGAAACTTTGAGGAAACTTGAGGAAACTTGGGAGGAGGGGTGAGAAACTTGGGAGGAGGGGAGAGGAAACTTGGGAGGAGGGTCGAGGAAACTTGGGAGGAGAAACTTGAGGAGGGGAGAGGAATTGGGAGGAGGGAGAGGAAACTTGGAGAGGGGGAGGAGGGTGGAAACTTTGGGAGGAGAGAAACTTGGGAGGAGGAGAGGAAACTTGGGAGGAGGAGAGGTGGAAACTTTTGGGAGGAGGGGTGAGGAAACTTTGGGAGGAGGGAGAGGAAACTTGGGAGGAGGGAGGTGAATTGGGGAGGAGGGGGGAGGGTGAGGGAGGAGATATGGCAGGTGGACGGGCTGCCTGCCTCGCTGCCACCCGCCTTCCTTAAGCTCCAATTTGGTGTAAGGCGGAGTTTATGGTGCGACGCCTAGGGAGGAAGGAGCTGGAGTAGAGGAGGGAAGGAGGTGGAGGAGGGGAAGAGGAAAGGAGGAAGGGGTGGATGGAATAGGTGGAGGGGGTGAGGAGGGGGGTGAAGGTAGGAGGAAGGTGAAGGAAGGAGGGGAGGAGGGAAGGAGGGAAGGAAGGGGAAGAGCCAGGGAGAGGACACTTTACTGTGTGTGTGTGTGTGTGTGTGTGTGTGTGTGTGTGTGTGTGTGTGTGTGTGTGTGTGTAGTTTTCTCTCATTTTTCTTCTCATTTTCTTTATTTTATCTCTTCTTCTCTTTCTCTTATCATACACACAGT